GGAACTATGGTGGCTCCTGAAAAAGTTGGTTTTTTGGTTTTCCTAGGAAAAAGTTGGTTTTTCTCTAAAAAACCAACTTTTCCCTAGGAAAAAGTTGGTTTTTGGAAAGCCTGGGCTCCTAAAACCAACTTTCTCTTAGGAAAAAAAGTTTATGTTTTCAAGAAGAACCAACTTTTTCCTAGGAAAAAAAATGGTTTGTGGAAGGTACAAACTCGAGAAACCAAGTTTTTCCTAGGAAAAAGTTGGTTTTTGCAAGGAACAGAATCGGAAAAACCAACTTTGTCCAAGGAAAAAAATGGTTTTTGGAAAGCCTGAGCCCTTAAAACCAAATTTTTCTTAGGAAAAAGTGAGTTTTTTAGAGAAAAATCAACTTTTCCTAGGAAAACAAAAATAAACAACTTTTTCAGGAGCCACCGTAGTTCCAAAAAACAATGTGTTTTTGGTGTTTTGGTTTTAGTGCGTTTGGTGCTTTCTCTATTTCGGTACTATTTGCTTATTTATTTAATAAGAAAGTTATATCAGCCATAATCCAGGTGGAAACCAGAAATCCAGGAATCCAGAATTGAAATATTGAATTTACATAGATTTACGGAAGAATTGTAATGGACCAGAATTGGATATAAAACTAGGAGACCAGAATCCAGTTGAAAACCGACAGTCAATAATCGTATTCATTCTAAAGAAATTAGATAAGGAATTTGTATGGGTCAGCATTCAATTCAATCCGAAATTGGTGGGTGTCCAAAATCCGATCATGCGAAAATGCATGTTTTCATCGGTATTTACCGTGTTTTCAGGGGGTCGGTGGATCACGGGGGAGTGTGTCCATATATATAAACACATATTTATGATCACGCCAAGGACCGACACTTGTCTGGTTTGCATGTACCACGTGGTTATATACCATATTGCGATTAGCAGAAATTGCTGTAAATACTGGTGTTTAGGGCTGTGTTCTCAATTCCTTGTGCGGGAATGGTACGGCATTCTAAAAACTTGGCTGACTTTAAGCCCGAATTCAAGCCAATGACTACAAATCCAAATACATGAAACCATGGAGAGGTTATCAATTACAAAAAGCATGCCCTTGAAAACACGAGCTTCGAGCAGATTACGAGTAAGTAGTCTAAACATGCATTAGCATAACGAATATTTGATACAGCGTAAAATGGTCGAAGATCAGCTGAACTTCTTCGGAAGCCTTGAAGCTTGGCTTTCAAGTATCAAGTAACTTCGTATGAACCCTGAGCATATTTCATTAAAACAAATACTGGAACCCTGGAGTTCTGGATTAAGTTTCCGACGTGATTCTGGATCCATAGACCATATAAATCTCTTGTTGAGTTCAATATGCATGAGCAAAGAAGTCCTGAAATCCTGGATTTCTGGGCTGTATATATGAATATGAAACCTTGATTGCGTGTAATCAGAAAGGATACAGACATCCTGGAATCCTTAAATTCAAGTTTGCCTAGTTTTGATCTCGCTTCCTTCCATATCAACTTATTGGATTTACTTAAAGGTAGTACATATTCGGGAATTCTGTCTCCATCGGGTTCTTTCCATATCAAGCCCTGACTAAAGCTAACGAGCACAAATGCAGAATTGGTGGAATCCTGTCTTGCTAGTTTCTCATCTGGCTTAAGTCCATGTAAAGCCCTTATATTATACGGTTCGCTTAAACAAATTAGTGTAATCCTGGAATATTCTGGAATTTTGATTGTCCATCTGGTTCTGGCACATATATATCCCAATTAACCTTACAGAAATGCTGGAATCCTGGATTCCTTTTTTGATCTGGCTTCAGTTCTTGTAAACCCCTTGTTATTTTCAAAAGGCACAATACTGGAAGCCTGGAAAATCTTCGAGTCCTGATTTTCCAGTTGGCTCGGGTCCAAAGAAATCCCAAAATAAAAGTAGGTAGAACGAAAACAGAATCCTTTGCTCCATGTTGCGGAGAAATGTTACTGTGTTTCGTGGCACTCACCCTCACCAAACACTGTACTGCTCCAGAAAACCTTGAACTTCAGCAAATACTGGAATTTTCATGGAAGGAACCAGGTGCTAGATCCCTAAATCTTTGGAATTTTGGGGTTGCTTGGAGCATTGCAGTGCTTCGGGGCCTTCACCCTAACCAAACACTGACATGCTCCTTGAACCTCACCAAACAATGTAATGCTCAAAAAAAAAAAATCGTGGGATCTATGGCCAGTAGCCTGGATATTGCCCTTTTGGGACATTTTGAACATTACAGTGCTTCGTCGCCCTCACCCTCGCTAAACACGGCAAATTCTAGAGAAAAACAAAATTTCAAGATTTAAAACCTGTCCACACACTGAAATGCTCAAGAATTGCAGAATTCGCGATTTCTCGTGCCTATGGAAGGAATCAGATGCTATACACCCTCAAATTTGGGACTTTTGCAACTTTTTGAACATTACCATGCTTCATGGCCCTCACCCTCACCAAGCACTGTCATGCACAAATTTCAAGAATTCAAAGCCTTTGGCGGATTTCCAGATTTCCTGGCCGAAGATCCCAGCATTTTGGAATTCGGTGGTTTTTGAGCATTGATTGTTTTGAGCATCACAAGGCTCAAAAAGTCCAACAATTCCAAAAATGGTGAGTATTTCGAGAATCCCTAGCCGTAGATCCCAGGGCTTTGAAACTTGGATTTTTTCCGCATTACAACGTTTGTTGAGGTTCAGGGCTTGGATTTTTTGCAGCATTAAAGCATGTCGTGGACCCAATCAGCCCATTAAGAGCCAAATGTCGGTCTGTGCGGAGGCTGAACCTTTTTGTATATCCATACCAAGACAGCCCATGCTACGTTCAGAGCAGCCCCAGTAAACCCTAACCCTAAGAATCGCGATAGCAATCATCATCTAGTACTTGCCATTTTCATCTCCGTTCCTTCCCTCCCCGTTGAGCAACAGCACGCACAACCCGCTGCCCCTGGCCAAGCATCCCTTTGGCTTTGTACTCTGGCAGGAATGCACCAGCATCATCACCTGGGCTGCAGTTCTGAGACTTGTAGGGCTATCCTCAACGAGGCTTAATTCAGGACAGGGGTAATGGACTGTTGCGTCTGGTCGAGTCCGGCCCATTGAAGCCTACCCAAGACATCAGGGATTAGGGCTTAGGGCTCTTCCTCGAAGAGGGGGCTCACCCATGGACAGAGGGCTTAGGGCGAGCGACCCTAGGGTTGGTTGCCAGAATAACGATAACTGTTCTTTGCACCATATAATATATATATACACATACAGAAAACTGTAGTTTGGGGGGAGCTGTTGCCAATTATCCTAAACGAAAATGAAAATAATGCATAGACAGCCAGCAAGCGATTTAGAGTGCGGGTATATCTTTTTTGTGGTTTCGACCCCTAGAAATGTGTAGAAAACGCTTGTTTTCACTGAGAACACCTGCCTGCATTCCGACGCACTCTCTCTCTTTCTATATATATATATATATACATATTTGCCAGTATCATGGTGGCCTACCCGAAGCCATCAACCTATGGTAGCTTCTTTTTCAACTTCCTTGGTGGCAACCCAGTCACGGCTGAGCCCATAGGTGGTCTGAGTGAGGTCGTTGGTGCCGAAGCCTTCGGCGACCGTTCAGGATAGAGTAAAGGCTTTTGGGGTCTCAGGTTCAAAAGCAGAGCAATTACATAACTAGTGCTATAGCTTGCAACGGTCAGAGATACTGAGTCAATCGCCCATTCCCAGCCCATCTACCTTGGAATATGTTTAGAATTACACGTCCCCAAGAAAAACCGATAGAGGGACCGAATACTACAAGGTCTCATATGTCTAAACAGCCATAGGAAAACTCATTTTTCATTGTTTGCCGGGCTGACGACGTGCCTCCCTCCCCTCACCACGGGCCTGACTCAATGATGAACTTATTGGTGATTGTTTGGACTGATTAGGGCCAGGCTTTAGGGTTTAAGGTTTAGGGCTTAGGGTCGGAGGCTTCAGAGGCTTAGTAGGGCTGATTGAAGCTGGTGAGAAATTCTTAAGTCCTGGACCGTAACAGCACAAAATTGGACGTGCTGTACACTTAGTCAATCAGGATTGTGTCCATTGACCCCTCACCTTACAACCCTAAACCCTGCATGTGTTTTAAAGAAAAAACCCCTGAACACTAATACCCCGGTCTTTTGGAATTCCGGGTTCCAAGGAGCTGAAGAACTCAGCCTGCTCCGCCAGCCTGCTATCCACTTTAGACCATAAATATGTATATGTATATATACACACACACAAATTTCAAGCTGTTAGGGGACCTTTTACAGAGCTTAGGATGGAAAAAAATACGTAGAATTTCGGTGTTTTAGGTTTCCAGAAAATTCGGAAAACAAGCATTGTGCTATATTGCGCGCTGAATTGGGACCACAACTGGGATGAAAGGGTCCGGGGACTACACTGTAGCATCTAGTATAAGGGACTGTATAAAGATTGCTGTAGAGACGAAAGGTGGTTCAGAACAGACAGCTGGGCATAGTGAACGCAGATACCCAAAGCCCTAGTAGCCCCAAACTAAAAGCGCTCAACCCTACACACCCTCAAAATTCTCTAAAAGCCTTCTGAGACATATTCCTACGGTCTTCAGGGGATCAAAATTCAGCGATCCGTAAACCTTCAAGCCCTAAACCGTCAAAATTCATGTTGTCCTAAACAAAAATTATGAGGGATGATCTTACCCGCTTATAACTTGGACGTTCCCCTACCTAGACCCCCTACACCTATTCAAAGCCCGCCATGCCCCACACCTTCCAGCTTGGATGCAAGCCCTCGGTAGCTCTACCATGGTTCCCACGCGGTAGCTGAAGTTGCCCTGCTCCTTTCAGCTGCATTGGGCTAAGGGCTCTTTGAGGTAAAGGGTTTTTTTTGCTGCAGCCGTGCGCGCTAGAGGTTGGCGCGCATTGGCGCATACCCGGAAATTCTCAGTGCTCGGTTGATAGAGTGGTAAACTACATGACCGAAAATTCCTGTACTAGGGTTGTGGTCCCAATGTTCGCTGAAGTGACGGAATGTTGTAACTTCTGGCCAAAATAATGAATCTTTCCTCCTCTTCTTCTACCTGTGGCGTGGATTCTATCCTTAAATGAGGGGCTAAACACCACATGATGAATAGGTTCGGCAGGATCTGCCAGGAACACTTGCGTGAGTTTTTTTTTTTCTGAGCTTTGTGTAGGAATGTTGAGGGTTTCTCGGGTAACACGCTGTTCTCCACACTACATTGTTAGTGATTCTGGAGTAATATGAAGCCTTAATGCCTACAATGCGCCTGAGGAAGCGGTAGTAGTATGCATCGATGCGTTTTAGGTGCTTGTCCTGAAGAGTTAGTAGTCCATAAATTAGAGTCGATATGAAGACCGATTGGAATATCTAAAGTTTTTTGCGTCAAGACATAGAACTGTTCCAAACAAGTCTGAGCTTTTTGTAGGATGTTTCGGCTAAAGCTGCTCGATGTTTAAATGCTGCTTCAAAAGGCTTATCCCATGAAACTACACTACCCAGGTACTTAGCTTGCGTTGTGGTCGGGACTTCTTGGCCGTTAGCGAATGTTATCTTCGGGGCTGGCCTGCGAGGGTCTACGAGTAGCTCAGTCTTGGTCTGGTTAAGATGCATCTCATACAGTCGTGCCTGTGCTTCCAGATTATGAAGAAAACCCTCTAATTGCGTTGTGGTCTTGCCTAGCAGCAGCGTGTCATCGGCATATTCCAAGTCGTATACTGGCTTACCTACGGACCAGGTAGTAGTAGCTATGCCTGCGGCTAATAACGCATCATCTAGATCAGAAAAGATAACCGACAATACCATGATGAAAAGGTACGGGCTAAGAGGGCACCCTTGCCGAATTTCCGATCCTACAGTACCAAAAGCCTTTTCCCCGGAGCTAGATACTGTGTGAAATGTGGGGTCGGAATACAAAGAGCCGATGATGTTAACCGCTCTCTCGGATACTCCAAACCTCTTTAAAGCTATAAGCATGGCGTTATGGTCAATGGAGTCGAAGGCTTGTTTCCAATCTAGCAACAAGATGCAGAGCGGATTAAGGTAAAGGGGTTTAGGGCTTAGGGGTTTTGAGTCGCACTCCTGGGCTTGCAAAAAGTTAAATGCTTTCGGCTCTAGGGTTGCAGGTTTTGGAGTGTGAAGGCTTGGCGGATGCATAACATCGTGAGGGCTTATGCCTCTACAGAGGTAACCAACGTGGAATGCCAAACGAGGTCCACGTCGCAAGAGAACCCAAGCCCTTTTACGTGCCCTCGAGGCCCGGATCTGCTGTGTAACCCTAACCCTTAACCCCCAATCCATCAACCCCCGAACCCTAACCCTAAAGCACACAAACTGAAAGCCATGAACCTGAATATTTACATATCCTGAACCTACACCCCACACTCCACACCCTGAACCCAGCACCCCAAACCCCCACACTCCGTTCCTTCTGCACAGCCAAGGCAGTCTTCTCGATCACATCCTGCAGAAATGCTATCGCCAAAATCAATGCTTTTCCGGCAACAACCCCCCAAACCCTTCAAGAACAGGTATTCCCAATATCATGAATACAATTGTAGAAGGGAGAGCGTATTCAGCATTACCAGGTGAGGGGGGTTGGGAGGAGGGGATAACTACTGCGAAGCTGGTGCTGGTACTATGTCAAATCCAGCATTGCTCGCTGGGATCTAGGTATACAGGGTCATGCAGAATGTTGTCAATCAACAAGGCTAAGTGGTAGCATCAGACAGAGCGTGGGGCAGGAACCGTGGCGGCCGCAGCAGCAGCAGCAGCAGCAGCAGCAGCAGCAGTCGCGGGGGTAATGAGGAGGAACCTTATACACGAAACAAAGTAAAGGGACCAGGCTATTTCTCGAAGTCACGGTGCCTGTCTGTCGTACAAGCACGAATCCGTGTTCGAAGTATTCCCAGCAAAGAAACAAAGTTTAAGAAACCTTCCAGCTTAAGCCCTCAGGCATATCGAAACAAAGGTCCATCCAACGTAAAACGCTTCATTCATAACCTGCCTAGATAAACACTGCTAGTTAACTACCTGGTGCTTGATGCAGACTCACGGATTGGGTCCCGATAGCAGCCCTGCATAATCTCCGAAAAAACATTCCACAAACCAATTTCCTCCTAAGCTTAAAGCCCCCAACATGTAACTACCGAAGTAGCTTCCATCTCTTCCATGCCCCTCTTACCTACTCTGGAACAGGGAGTCATGTTTCCTTGAGGAGCTTCAGCTCTTCTGGAGCTGCCACCAAGGGCACCATGACCTTGGGTTGCTCGAACGAGAGCTTGCACTTAAGTCCATTCCAAGGGGCTCTGGGAAGATGCAACGGTGAGGGATGTTGGCGTGGGCTTTTTCTGCAAAAAGAGGCCCTTAGGTACCCTGGCATTTAGGGAACGCGATTTTACAGGGGCGGTTGTGAAAAGCTCCTAGTTTGTACAGGATTTAAGGAGTCAGGGCTGAGGAGCTTTAGGGTTTAGGGGGTGGAGTTTAGGGGTTTGATCTGCTGCAGGGACTACGGAGGTTGGTGTTTAGGAGATCTAGCGTTTAGGGTTGATAGGTCTAGGTGGTCTAACGTTTAGGCCTTGGGAAGTTTGGGGTTATGCTGTTTAGGAAGTCCTGCGTGTGAGATTGAGGAGGTTTAGGGTAAATAAGTTGAGGGGATGTTCAGGGTTTGGAATCTAGAGTTCAGTGCTTGGAGTCTTAGGCTTTGGGTTTCAAACGCCGCCTTCGTTGACAATAATCATAGCGTTACCCACATGCGATAAAGCCGTTAATGTAAAGTTTGCATACCAGCCCTCCTATTCTGTGTATTGCCCTGCGCAACTCGCAAATGCGTAAGTAAAGAAAGAAGCCTCCTACCAAACAGCAGCGACCCTGAATCCTCGAACCTAAACCTCAAACTCGAAACTCCCTTCGAAGCCTGAAACCCTAGACTGATTTGCACCACGACCTCCGCCACTGGCATCTTCTTGGAAGTCTTGCCCACCTGCACCATGGTCTCTTGAAGGAATGCAGAAGAAATCGGAAACTACTGCAGCATTCTGGGTTTGAACAGAGAATCTACAAAGTGGGGTTGTAAGTAAGATAAATCTAATTGCAATCAGGTTCGGGTCTTTCTTCTGCTTCAGGACATCCTGCACCATACTGGTTCCCTGCATCCTAGAAATGACGATAGTGACACGGCCCTAAGTGCCTGCAAGGTTTCCTCCTTCAACCATAGTTAGAAGCTTCCTAAAGGGTCCTGCAAGTACCAGGTTACGAGGAGCATTACCGATTGAAAGCCCTATTAGGGAGGAACCACCTCAACCCAGGGGCTTGCACAAGGAGAATACAGCGTCTCGGATTTACACACTTCGCCATCCCTCAAAATCACATGAAGCTCTAAAAGGAGCTGCATGCTTTTTGGGACCGTTTTGGGTGTTCCAGTTTGGGTGAGGATGCTATTGGGAACAAAACATTTGAAATAGGCTTTGGGGGATAGATTTTGCTTTAGTTGTGGTGAGACCCAGATTAGGAATAGTGTTGGTAGTTGTTTCGGCTTATACATTACCGTCCCCAACAAACAGTTCTGAGTGTTGGATTGGATGGCTTCAGACACCAGTGTCCCGGTATGAGATTACGTGCTAGCGTCGACAAGTTGGCTTGGTTCATTCCCCTCCAAATCCCAAACCCAGAGCCTAGAATCCTAGAACCTAAACCCCAACTACGGCGCCACTGTCTTTCCTGTAAGCGCTGCTCCAACTTCCCTAAGCCCCGAGCTCGAAAAGCCAAAAAAGCTGCACCTCGGCAGCGGCTTCGAAGATGGCCCGTGCTTGCATCTCGCATATCTCCTCGGGAATTCTGGGGATTTTTCAATGTTTGGAGACACAAATTTTGCTGGGGGCTCAAGGTAGAGGCGTAGTAGCTAGGGCTTCAAAGTGCGAGAGTTTAGAGACTCCGGAGCTGGGAAGCTGATTTGAAAGATGTTGAGCCCCTATCATTTTTCGTTTTTCGCTCGTTTCCGATACAAACCAGATTGCAAAACAGTGACTTGATCAGTAATCCAGCTTCTGGGTAGGTGATGGCCAACCTGCAGCCACGGTGTCCCAGCATTGGATTTGCTTCCTTCAGCTCCGTCACACGCCTCTGTCTGGATTTGCAAACATGAAACTCATCAATGCAAATCAGAAACAGCTGTTAGAATAATAATCCAGGCATAATCGCAATTGTCACAAGAATAGCACTGAAAAATACAAAAGGAAAACTAACAAAGGATTCGACGTGACCACCTTAACAGCACTATGGCAACTATTGCACTTGTGAGAATATGTACAAAAGGAAAAGCACGGTATCTGTAGTGGTGACAGTGGATGATAGATAGCTCACACAATCTAGATCAAATGTTGAAATACGAGCCGAAACCCCTAAACCAACTGAATTATTGGCGTCCTGAAAAATGTGAACAGCGAAAGTTGTCGAAACGAAGCAGCAACAGCAGCAGCAGCAGCAGCAGCAGCAGCAGCAGCGTGTTGTACGCGTATCCACGACAGATCGGCCTTCCACGGGTATTCCAACTCCGGACACATAAAGATGCGAGGCTCCAAAATCGATGACAATTTTCGAAGATGGCAGCCCCTAGCCCATCCGTATGACGGTCGACACTGTGGACGAGAATGGGAAAACTCCCAGAAATGTCACGACGGCACAATGACAAACTACACGGCTTCGAATTGACGTGGTCACGTTCCCAAGTTCTAGCGCTGGCATTCTCGCTTTTGCCGCCGCAATGAAGAAAAGCGGGGTGAGCCCTCCACCCTAAACCCTACATTCCTAACCCCGAAACCCCCACTTTCCCAACCAGATGCTTAAACCGTACATCCGGAGAAACCTGAATCCCCCAATCCTTGCACCTCAAATCCCTAAACCCAAGCCTCATGCCGCACAACACAAAGAAACACCCGGCCTCCGCACACGATCAATTGGCATCCCTGCGGCTTTAGCTACCGAGGCCATCTCTCCTGAATCTAAATCTGGATGCTCCAAAGGGGAGGAATGGAAACAAAAATGGGAAGTACAATATTATCTCGGAGATTGGTTTGGGGTTTAGGGATGAGGGCTCAGGGTTTAAGTGAAAACATCGTAGAGCCTACTAGATTCCACGGTTGGGGTTTTCGGAATTTAGAGTTTAGGAGTTTGGGTTCTAGGTTTCAGCACACACAAGGGATATGTTAAAAAGCTCTAGCAAATAGTGAGGTGCTTCGGGGCATGCACTGCATGCGAAAGGGTCATACTACAAGGCTGCTGCCTTGTAAGGCGCCTGGGTGCTTACACGACCTAAATAAATTAGCCTTTAAGCATAGTGCAGTTTAGGATGCCCTAAAGATCTGTGATGACAAGTAGCTTTTGGAAGCACCGAACATCTGCGTTTTTGCAACAAGCACTCGAAACACAGGCATGATGTTGTTGAAAACAACCTTTCCCAGACGACGGCTGTGGCTGTTACAATCGCTGCGGCGAATCCTGCAGCTGTGCCTGTGGATTGATTTGTCACAAGCGCGCTTATCGCCCCTCCCCGCCTCACTGTCCCACCCATACCCCCCAGCCACCCCTCCCACTCTCGCGAAACTACCAGGCGCCTAGCAGTGAGCTATGACAAGGACTGGGTAGGCGTTGTAGAGAGATTGGGTTAATATTTTGCAGGGTATGGTTTATTGTTTTTTGGCTGCAAGGCTTGGGGACACAGTAGTAGGGGCTTGTGTGCAAGTACTGTTGATCGAGAAAATCTGGCACATGGTACCACCTAGTGCACTTAAACTGCATAATCCATAGGGTGATATGGGGACCCTGGGCTGGTGCAGGATTTCCTCCATCAACGGTAGCCTTAGCCTGCACATCCCGTAGTCCTATGGTCTCCTCATAGCCCGATGCATCGCTAGAGACGAAGGCAGGCAGGACTGGAAAGAAATTGTCAAGAGTTGGAGACCTCCTGTCTTGCACCCTCAAATAGAGGGCCCCAAACGAAACCATGACCCGAAGACCTAGGATTCCTAAACAGCCACCCAGTCCTTCATAGTGTGGAAGGAACTCATGGAGCGGTGGATCAAGCAAGCGCACAGTCAGCGGCAGACCTCCAGGACGCAACATTAAGGATTCAGGTCAAAGTCGAGTGCAAAGCCTACGTAGGATCCGCGCCCAGCTTTTAGTGGCCTGCAGATTTCATGCTCACCTATGTGGCGTGAAGAAACCTGTGAGTTGCATGAGCCCACACGGCTTCTTGGCACTGATACCTAACAGGCGCCAAGAATGAAAAACAGATTCCTCGCAACCCTAATCCTGTATCCTTGTGAAGGCAAGTTCTTTTCTCTTTGAGCTTCACAGGGAGTGGGGGATTGGATGTAGGCTCTGTTATACAGTATATGCAAAATCAGCTAAGGACTTCGGGATCATTACAAGGTTTCTCTTCCTCAGCCGCATTACCCGAAATACTTACACTAGCAGCAAAAAAGTGAACGTCAGTATTCCCCAAGGCTTAGCCAGAGGGAAAGCAACATACCAAGCTGTACAGAAAACCCTAAACCCTATGAACTGTCAAATAACCCCGGCACATCTCACCATATTTGGCACTTTACCGTGAACCCCTTCAACCGTGATGGGCTTTAGCAACCATCAGACCTTCCATGATAGAGAAAAGCTGAGTGATGTCTTCCCGCTGCATGGCCAAGAGCTTATCCAACGCCGCCTGGGCTTTCACTTGCTGTTGGTTAGGGTTGAGGATTTAGAGCTTAGCGGCCAGCATGGCCGGAGGCAAACTGATCCAGTGGGTGCGGCCCGAATCGGCCACCAATCGGCCACCAAACAGGCCCGAATCGGCCACCACGAATCGGCCACCAGGAAGTCCGAATCGGCCACCAGGAAGCCCGAATCGGCCACCGGGCGGCCGAATCGGCCA